GTGTGTGTGTATTCAAAATTATTCAATTCAAAGTTAAAAAAAAAAATTATTACTAAAGGTAAATCTGTGAAAATTGTTGAATTTTTAAATACGGAATGGATGCAAGTAAATGCTGTCATTCATAAAACATATTCCCGAGATATTCACAAGGATAAGCAATAAAATTATTAGTCGCGGTTTGCGGCACGATGAGAAAAGAAAAGGTTCTGACTCATGGCGGCTTTTTACCATCATCAGTACAATCCTGACCAGACTGCGTGGCTAATTTAAGTTAAGTGGTCGTTATAGACGCAAAAGAATCTTGAAAATAGATCTGTCAATCTTGGCAACGCGACATTGCAATGATACATCAATGGTAAAATTTACATTGCTAAAATAAATAAAAATAATTTTATTGATTTATTAACAATCTTGTCATTTTATAATTTGTATATATAATAAATTTGTATATACAATAAATTTCTTTGTCAATCTATAAATATATTATTAATAAGGAATCATTTAAGTGACTAGTTTATCAATTCTCACAACGTGATTTTATGTGTCGTATCTTTGTTACCTTTATCTTTGTTATCTTTATCTTGTTTATCTTGCTTTAAGCATAAAATATGATATAATTGTTATTTGGCAAAGAATTAAAATGAAAAGAGATAGCATTATAGCATTAGTACGCTTATTAAATTATGAGAAAAAAATAACATTTATTAAATTTTATTAATTGTATTAATTATTTTATCTCGTTAATTTTATATATAATTCAGATTGTTAAATGATAAATGTATACAATTTTACAATATTTAATATAATATCATTACATTATTGATATTACATTATTTTTATCAAAAATAAAATTCAATTTTATGATATAAATAAGAAATAAATCAATGCTTTTTTTATATCTTATACGTTACTCTAATATTTCTTGAAAGTCCTTAAATAATTACAAAATATTATAAAATACAATACTGTGAAAAAGAAATGGAACACAATTTTATATTTCTAGCGATCATATCAGAAATAAATAATGACGAGTTTTAAAATTACCAAAATTTTTATAATCGTACATTTTTTTTGAAAGTCATCGATAATGTTTGCTCTATTTATCGTTTACATAAAATTCTATTATTAAGACTGTATAGAAAAATTGTGAAATATTTTATTGATTTATCACTGTAGTTTATGTTAAAAATTTACGATAAAAAACTTATTGTTAAACTGTAGCATATGCATTATATTATATTATTATTCCGTGACGAATAATTTAGGTTTCGTTATATTAGAGAATCGTTACCAACGATCTCTCAAGTAAAATCATTATTGGTGGACATACTATTATTTGCGTTGAACGCTGCATCAGACAACGACGAATATATATGACAATTATTAAGAAGGAGGCGTGTTGAGCCTGGCGTTTACGGTTCATCGACTGACCTCTTGCATCGGGAGAAAGAGGCCCATTTCTCCGAACCATTTAATTAACTCTTTGCCACGCAATCTTACCGAACATTCTACGATCGTCAAATTCCACATTTTATATACGACCGCTGTGTCTTGGTTTTGATAACAGTGAACTCTGAAAGAGCGGCCGACATGATGCGCATTATTCGTAACAACATCAAATTATTATGATAGTTTATATTATATTATATCAATAGGAAATATACACAGAATTATTATTTCAATTAATTAGTTAACGAATTTTATAATTTTTTATTTCCTCCTCTATTTACGCATCTTAGCTGTGTAACGCGTTGTAACGAATCTGTAGTAGCAAGTATCTGTAGTAGCCAGATTTATTTTTATATTTTAAACAAAAAGACTAAATCAACATTTAATTAAATTTATTTAATATTATTAAATTTTATTATTAAATTTTGCAAATGGGCCATTGCAAAGAACCAATAACTAGATACTTGTTGCGCAACAAAATATATTTGTAGTAACAATTCATACTCGATTGGAAAACGATCGTTTATAGCGTTTATAAACGAACGTTTATGGCAAAAGCATCGTTAAACGGAAGATCAGATCGCAAGAGATCATTCGTATTTAAATAAAAATAGGCTAGCTGATAAAATTTTATTGGAAATCGCGCAGGCATTTTCCAATCGGTAAATGTAGATTATCTTAGACATTTTCCAAAAAATCTGGCCATTGAAATATTACATAGTTACTTTTTGTCTTTTCTTTGAAATAAAAGAATGTCTTGCATGTTTAGCTACAATTTTGTTCGATTAAAAATTCATATAATATAAATTATTGTCAAATATATTTTCTAGACAGATTTGAGAGATTTTTGTGTCGTATAACTAATACTGCTCAATATTAATATACATTACAATTTACGTTATATGCGATACATGGAAATTTTCCTTTGTTTGATATACAATACAAAGTTGCGTTTGTTAAACACAACGAATACTTGAATTTTGCGCAATAATACTATCTGCATAAATATTACGTACAATTACTAATAAAATAATTATAAAAAATAATAATATATGTACACTTAGAAATAAAATATTAAATGAAATTTCTGAGAATATCCAAGTGTCTGTCTTATTATACTTTTGCAAACAAGAATTTAATATTAATATGAATGTTCAACATATTAATATTAATATATTAAACGTAAATAAATTTGATAGATAAATTACTATTATATTTTTTCACAAGAAAGAGAGATCAATCATTTGTATATTTGTAAATTCATAAACACTTTAAAAGATAACATTCGTCAAATATGTGACGTACGTAATATGTGTACGTACGTAAGATGTGTATGCGATTGAATTGTTTCAATTTTAAAGGATTAAAATGTCCCTTGCGAATGTGCGCAACGACCACATTATTATTATAATTCATATACAATATTATTATAATTCATTGTTGAAATTCAACTCTATGTCGCGCGAACAGTAGGAGGCGAACAGTAGGAGACCACAGGTGAACGAGGAGGCACTCGGCGCGAAATGTTTCCTCGCGTCTACGTTCTCACGGCAAATTGCATCCTTTTCCTAACCTCAACCGCGACCCCGAAATCGATCTCTAGACTCTCTCAATTCCGATGTACGATGCGATATGGTAGATGAAAGTAGATGACGCGAGCGCAACTTAATAAACGTATGTATGTACGTACTTCTTTTCATCTTGTTATAGCATCATATAAAATTAAGGCACGGAAGACACCGTCGACAACACGGCGAAAGTTATCTGTCCAACAGCTTCGCGTTGGACACAGACGAGCCTGAGAGGGGCAATTGGGGGCCATGGTCGACACCCAGCTCCTGTTCGCGTTCCTGCGGCGGGGGAGTTGCCCATCAAACCAGACAATGCCTCGATATAGAGTGAGTTACAGTATACTTTATTTATTCATTATTTATCTACTATTTATGGAATATGCTATGTATGCTCGTTTTAAAATATGATTTTGAATGTCAAACGAGACGTTGAGAATGATCTTGGCACGTACAAAAAAAAAAGAATAAACATCTCACATCTTTCTCTCGTGGGATTTCTAAGGAAAAATATGAATTTTGCAACACTAAATGTTTCAAGTGTGATTACAAATTGTTCATTTTTTTTTTTTTTTTTTTTATAAATCTTTCGATAAATCTTTTCGATAAGTATAAATGTTTTTTCACAATTCTGACTATGTATGTATCAGTATAGGAGCTTTCTTACAACTTATCCATACATTATATGCTGCATTATTTCTATTTAATTATGCTCACTCAAAATTTGTAAGATATACTTGCCTACTTTAAAGTTTGGTCTTTATTAATTAAATTCACTCGAAAGAAGCTATTTCACCTAACCTCCGTTGAGTTTCTCGCTATTCTTAGAATTTACTCCAATGTTAATCAAGCTCAATTGGATTGAGATTGGATTAAAAGCGAATAAACTTGCAAAGAATTTCAGATCAAGTCTCGATCTGCACTGAACTCGATATATCGTGCAAAATGAAGCAAATTGAAGAAATCGCCAAAACATTGATAAATATGTTGCATATTATATTTTATATAATTTACAGATTTTAGCCGCGAGTGATGAATAATAAGAAAAAATTCTTTTGTTGACAAGACAACAGTATGTTGTTAATAAACTTTAAATAACAACAAAATAATTAACAGTGTGTATCAATATATCTATGTCTGCTATCTATGTATACGTCTCTGCATTTAATTAGAGATAGTCTTATTTAAATAAGATCTTAAATCTTTTTATAATAAAATTCAAATATAAAAATGTTGACCAAATCTTTTTAGGATGCCTCGTACATCAACTGTGACTGTAAATTTGGGATAAATCAAAGAAACTTTTCTCCTAACACACGCCAACATAACAGATCCATCGTAAATCCTTCTTATCTCGAAACTACGAGAAGATTAATCGTAGGCACTTATACATCACGCTATCTCAGGGAAATTCTCACAGTTTCCCATCGCAAAGACGAGATGCAATTAAAGTTGGTTTTAACGTATTGCCATTACGTCGAGTGGAAAATCGAGAGAACGATCATTGATGATCGACATTGTGCCAATATTAGCCAATTAAGATAAATTCAATTACTAATGATGTAGCACATATTTTAGAAAGCGAGATAATCGTAATGTGAAAGCGCATAATGCGCATATCACAGCAAGTTCTTCGCAGATATCGTGTCACGGGTCATCCGAATGTATCGGCTAACATATATCAGCTATTACGGCTATTACTATTTAATCGTGAAGAAAACGCATTATTTTCACGAGCACGAGTATTCGTCATTATCTATATAGTTAATATTTTCGACTAGAAA